ATTCTGCAAAGCGTTATGGATAGCTGTGCTCGCTTTACATGTATTTAGACGACATCAATTTATTTGTTTAAGGGCCAATCTCAAAAAAACTTACTGAGTTACTGATCTTTAATCCTGTATTAGTTACATCTATTGTTGATCTTCCTCTCAAACACGTTTTTGTATTATATATACTACAACAATGCACCCAGCCATACGGCCGTTGAGCCCCAAAATGTTGAACGGTAAATGAGTAATCATCTTCGATGATGGACATTTTCTGAAGCGAATCAAATAAGGTTATAGGTCACTATTACAATTATCATCATCAATAATAATAAGTTTGATGATAATAAGGATGAGGATGGCACCGATGGCGGTGATGACGATGAAGATGACGATGACGGGCGATGATGATGATGAGGACGACGAGGATGATGATGATGAAATGCAATTTCATACTTACATCTGTATCAATACCAACTTTTGTGAAAGTTGTCTTTCCTTGATAATCGTTTTTATAATAAAACACCTGACAACCATAATGTGTTGAACACTTTCCAGTAGGATAATCAAACACATTAGTAGCATTGAGAGTGAGGAAGGTTTTAGGACTGTTGGTATTCATGTTGTGACAATACAGACGAACTGAAGAACTGTTTAAGATACCAGGATAATGAATATATTCACCGTCAGTTGTGTAAGATGAGTTACATTCTTTTATCGTTTCACAAGATGCAAAATCTGAAATAGAAATGAAAAATTGGAAAAAACTGGTTGATATAGTTGATTTTTGCATTAGCAACTGTTGAGAGATTGTCCTTGACTTGGCCCAAACGCGCCAAAAGGTGTGTAAAGTTGTATAAAACTAACAATTTTCAATGAATGTTTTTCTTTGTGATTTCCCCATAATTATGCTTGTTGCTTCCCTTTTATTTTATTATTTTTTTTTTAGTTGATTTTTAAATTGACCCAGAGGTTTATTGCATCAGACGCAAATGAAAACAGACCAAGCGTAAGGAGGTTTTTATTGATAGACACATTCGGCAATCCTCGACAGTTTCCGTAAATATGCACACTTCTTTAAATACATGGTATATAACGTTTCAACACAAGATACAAATGTCGTCATCAGATGAAATGGGAAAGAATCTGATGACGATACGG